TTTTTTTTTTTTTTTTTTTTTTTTTTTTTCTTTTCTTTACCTTGGGTATTTCGCCGTTGTTAAAGACTAAACCGAAACGGATTGTTTGCTCTGGGCACTCCTGGAACTCCCATAGATGGTAGTCGTCGACGCAGAAACCGGGATATTAGCCACGACTTTAGTCCTCAAAGCAGATCGAATCTCCTCGACGCTTCGGTCTTTCCACTCGGGAAATCCAGTGGTACTCAACGGGTACAGCACGAGGTTCTCATCGCGTGTAGTGAAATCGTCGACTTTGGGCGGTGGCATGGCAGTGATGATGTCCAGTTCCAGGGCGATCTGCCTGCAATATGTATCCAAGGGTAGGTCGTTGACGTCGTGGCCAAAGGGGTTTTCAATCTCGCTGCCGATGGTGTCAAGTCCGAGAATGATATAGGCGGCGACTGCACTCGTTAGCTTCATATTGAAACACACCTCGGGGTCACTCACTGATGGAAGCTGGGATGGTCACCCATTGCAAGGTGGTGTAGAGTTGAAACGGAAGCACAAGAACGTAAATCCAGGCAATCTGAGATATGGCGATAGTGTACGCAATCGGCAGAGGAGTGTCCAGGACACGTTCGGTGCCCGTGAGAACTTCGTTGAGAGTAGCCAATCCCGAGACTGAAAATTAGTTGAGATCGCCCAGATTGCAGATCCTGTACTCACTAGCTTGACCTTGATGCAGGCTGCAAGAGAGAGTGCCGTTGTCGATACACCGATCAATATAAGCTGCCAGGTGGTTGAGAATCTCCAAGGGAAGATGACCCAACGGCTTCTTGGACCGCTTGATCAGTTTTCTAGGATTAGATTCAGCAAATGAGATTCCCAAGTACTCTCCAGCGGCCTTCCACGAGCTCTTCCTGGGCGGTTTGAGGTTGTTCCTATCGTGTGCCTCCTTGGCGAACGTATCAAGATGTCCAATCAACCCCTTGAGGTCATCATAGCCGACGTCCGGTTCGAAGCGCAGTTTATGCTTAAGGGCGACTGCGAAGGCAAGGATGAGATTCATTACAGTCCTAACGGTGTCAGTAATTCCCTTAGAGCTTATGTGTCTGCACGTACAGCTTTCCCAGCAGATCCTGCTTTCCTTCCTCCCCTTCCCGTTCAGCAGTATCGATCCAGATCGTTCGAGCGATATTGCGAGAAACCTGAATCAGCAGTGACCAGTATTTCCGTCCATCCGCCCATCTTCCATTGTTAGCAAGCATCTTAAGCAGTAGGGCTGGGTCATACCTTTCATAGGCCGTGGAACTGCGGAACGACAGGGCCAAACCAACAACGAAACCCAGAACGGTCAACAAAATGTTATCGATCCCAACTGCGCCAGTCAGTTTATATCTATATTCATGCCACAGAGCGGACTCACGGTTCTGAACAAATCTCGAAATGCACGTAATCAAAGTCGACCAAAGCGCGACGCAAAGAAGCGGAAGGACCAATCGGGGCATGACACTGCCATGCAGTCGCAGGAAGATAGGCCATTTGGAGTGCTTGTCGAGGTCTCTCGGGCCGTGCTAGATCCTTTATCAGCCTGATCATTTCAGTTCACTAGTGGAAAAATGAAAGCATACAAAATATCGATCCACATCCGTCGAATTCCTCCGATCAAGCATAAACTGTCTCTCACGCGAGTCGGCCAAATTCTCAAGAAACGACGGCCGGGGCGTAATGCGACGGGGTGGGGGAGGCTCGTTGCTCAATTGAACTTGAATATGGGGCTGCGATCTTGTCGGTCCCGCGCCTGGCGTAGGCGAAGGGGAGGGCGAGGGAGTCCCATTGGAGATGACATCGGAAGCGTCACCCAGATTGGGCATTCTTAGGCCGTCAGCCACGGCAGTCGGATATGATAGACTTGACAAAAGAACAAAGATAGGATATAAACAGAAGTAACGAATGAAGATGTTAAAATAGAAGGTTTCTAGAAACAAAGGAAAGGAAACGAGCGATCACGAATGCGCGAAGAAGCGAAACGAAGAAATGAGAGCGGATTGACTTCGCGTAACGGGGATTTTATGCGACTAAATAATGTCAGCCGGGGCTAATATGAAGCTAGACTGTATTCATCTGGTATAGCCGTTTTGCGAGTAATACTGAAGCCCTGTCTCCGTGAAGACCGGATAGTAGTCTGTACAGTATGCAGTTGGTTGCGGATGAGTGTGCTTGTATGAGTATAGCTAGAGTATGCATTCCTTGCTCTCTATAGGTGTTTCTATGTCTCTATGTCTTTGTCTACTGTATTGTACTCTACGATATGTCTGCAAATATAACCTTCCTAATCGGGACATTGTGCCTGCCAAAATTGCCGTTGTTTCAGCCCTGAATCGGCCAATCAGCGTTTGTTTTAGAGCCACCACACGGGTGCATCTTGGAGATCTCATTGGTTAGCAGCAAAAGTGGAGCAGTCTAGACCGTTTTTGGATATAGTATTGGCATCAGTGAAACATTGCAGCTTTTGTGCTCACTGTAATCTATTCTCTATTGCTGTGGTATATTCATGAAAGAGAATAGTAGTGTTGACGACTCAATGGGGGAAGTCGAATGATCACCGGCATCTGAAGCCATATCTCCGATGACATCTCCCCTACAGAGTACCTGTACAGCACTACATGTCCGGCGTTTCAGGTTTCCCCTTTTCATCGTATATGTCCTCTTCTATCCGCCTCATGACACAGTCTAGACCGCTATCCTTCACAACCTCCACTGTAGATAACCTTTCTCATTGGCACTCGGCAAGATGATGCATCGTTGTCCGTCATGACAGGGGAAGTCTTGTCAATCAGTGTCGATTTTGTACTGCATCTGGCAGTTATATCGTGCGAGATATATCCTGTGTGGATTCACACGGGGGATGATGCTGCATGCATGCGGGGTGCATTCAGGAGTTGGAGTTTTCTCGAAGGCTGTCAGTAGACTTGGCTGAGATCGAGTCGAATGCGTATCAGAAGAATGCTTGGTATGCTTTGAGAGGTACTGCAAATTGCTAAACGCTGTTCTTTAGTCAAGTTTTATTGGGTGGTTGTTCTCGCATTCTCATGTTCTCGTTCTACACCGGATCGCAGATATATATCTGCATGCTGCAGCACTGACCTGAAGATGTTGTATATCCTTGAATGTATTGCTGATAGAAACTTTTTTGACATGAAACTACGGCGTATCTTATTTCTGCGGGTTAAAAATCTCGTTGACCAGCTATGATCGCTGCTTACTGGCAGCGGTAGAGCAGAGCATCTTTGACAACGAAGCAACGAAGCAACGTACAAGAAAACAGGACTAAGCTAGTCACCGTACGCCAAGCAAACCCTGTGTCTTATCTATAAGGGATTCTTTTCTGATATTCACATGCAAGTCTTCTACTACTGCGTCCAACCGTAGTCCTTGTATTTTATCCCTACATTCTTCCCATCACGACAGAAAACAGACATCCTCGGTGTCTACAACCCACAGCCTCCACGGACCTCGCATTCAGACAAGAAAAAGGAGAGAAAGTAGGCGTGGATGACGAGGGAGAGGAAGAAAGGCCCAGCTAATAAAAAAAAGCATTCCTGAGTAACCCCGTCAGATCTCGAATCTCAACCTGCATATAATTCCAATAGCAAGCAGTAGTACCGGAGCACGCTCTATATACACTAGGAGCAGAGCAGTATTCACCAAGTCCATATTCAACATCTCGAATCTTCCAAACAACCAAGCCGAAAATCTGGATCCCGAGTATTGGTACAACCGTCCATAAACTAGGGCCACAAGCTGGACCTTGTTCAATATATGTCGTCAATGAAATGACCAGAACCAAGGCTCTGGTACAAGAGTCTGAGAAACCGACCACCAGCGCATTGACAGTATCCGTACAGTGTGTAGGGAATTCTCCGGTATATCCTCCGATGTCCGAACTATTGTAGGTAAGAAAGAGAGTACGAGATTCAGGCGATAGTTTCCTCGTGTGATGACAATTCACTGAGCCCTACCCATCGAGGAGGGGCAGAGAAGAAGTCCTATCCTAACGAGCAAATAGGGATCGAATTTCGTCAATTTCTGCAGATCATGAAGTAATTCTTCAAAGCTTGTAGAGAGATGCCCCGTCCAGAAGTGGAAGTACCCATAGTACTCCGCAAAGCTATTGACAGACTATCGGACACAACTACCACGTATCCTGCAGAAACTAACGACATCGAAATTTAGCCTCTAGTTTTCTTGGCTGATTTGCTGCCCAGACAAGAGATTTCATGGCATTGGCATATTAAAGCAGGGTTAGCGATTAGCGCCATGATGCGCATTTAGCACGAGTGCGAAAAAGTAAACATATCACACACATCACATTCTCATGCATGATTATAATCCTCATTATTATAGATCACATTTCGACCTTCCCTGATTCCTGCAGCTGCTTTCATTATTCAGGCACAATAAGCATTGTGGGCGATCTTGCATCGGGACTCGAGACCGGGCTCCGGAGGATTTTACCGAGACGCACGCACATTTCGGGGACCTTCTAACTCGTTGCCTATTGGTAAATTTGATACTGCGGAAAAGTCAACTATATTGCTCCTTCTATTTCTGTACGTATATCTCATTTTGTAGACTTTACAGAACACGCCGGAATGGTGTACTCGGTGCACAAACGGCGAGACATCTCCGCCGCACACCCGAACCTCCGGTCGCTGGTTCGGAATCAATATTTTCTACTTTATTGAAGCTTCTTGTCTTTACGTGACGGCGATATTGAAGAGTTTTTCTGGTTTACACTGGAAAACCCCCACTGC